ATTTTCTGAAGAAGGGTCTAGGCCCGAACCGTCAGCCTTCCTGCTCCTCTGATGCTGCTTGGCCTGCTGTGTTCATCCAGCTCTACACCTTGTTATCTCAGATTCTCCAGCATCTGCAGTTCCTACTATCTCTAAAGTATGCCTTCATTGTATGAAGGATCCTGATTGGAATCACCTGTCAGAATGATGGAGTTTTTTAGATTAAGAAAGGAGTGCAGTAGTAATCAGCGTGATCCTTGGAAAATCTGATGCTAAGTGCACGTGAAAGGGAAAAGAGATTGGCATGATGTCAAAAAAGTAAAAAAGTATTTGCAGCCAAATGGTCTGAATAGCCTTCTTCTGCACTGTAACAATTCTGATTCTGCAGCCCTACTTCTGATTCCAAGAGAACTCTATTCTTATCTTCCTTCACTATTCAAAAGACTGAATACTGCAGGTGCTGGTAATCTGAGATGTAAACAGAAATGCTGGAAAAACTGAAAAGTTTGGGCAGCATCTGTGGAGAGAAAGTGGAAACAAAGTGAATGTTTCAGGACAGTGATTCACTGGGAACAATTAAAAGCTGTAATAATTTTTGAACAGTGGATGGTGACAGCTTGTGGTAGAGTGGAAGACAGCAAAGACTGAGGGACAGAAAGGTTGGTCTTCCAGAACCAGAGGGAATGGCACTAGGACAAAATACAAAAAAAAGAGTACTCCTGCTCCACTCATTGTGTCTGACCTGCTGCTCCTCCAGCTTCACATTTTAATCATCAAGCGTAGCAAGAGAAAATGCTGCTCAGCAAAAGAAAAAAAATGCAAAGATAAAAAACAAAATGGGAAGTTAGGGTTCATGATCTAGAATTGTTGAACTTAGTAATGATTCCAGAAGACTGTAACATTCCAAAGTGAAAGATAAAGTGTCATTCCTCAGGCTTATGTTGAGCCTCATCAGTGCAGTGCAGCAGGCCAAGGGTAGAGATGGCAGCATGAGAGCAAGTTAGAGAATTTGGGGGTGGGATCACACTGGAACTGGAGGAAGTGATCTGTTGAATACAGAGGCTGGTGCAGTGGAGGTTAAAGAGAAGGGGCTATCCCAATTATGGTTCTTGAATAGAGCTGAGATGTGGGTGATGTGGTAGACATGATGGAGGGATCTTTCAGCCACAGTTGATAGGAGCTCTTGGCTGAATAAAGAAGCTAGTGTGGAAGACTGTATCATCAGAACAGATGTGACAGAGAAACTGAGAGAATAGAGTGGAGTCCTTACAGGGTGTAGGTTGTGAGGAGGTGTTGTCAAGGCAGCTGTGAGAATCAGTATTTTATATTTATATATGTAAATGCATCAGAATTACGAACATCAATTGATTGTCAGAAATGGAACCAGAGAAGTCAAGAAAGGGAAGGAGTGGAGATGGAGCAGCTGAAATGGAGAGAAAGGTGGAAGTTGGAAGCATTTCGGGGTTAGCGCAGACACAACCCAGAATTATTAATGTACATACAGAATTGAGGGAGAAGACTAGAGTAGGACAGGAACAAGAAATATTCAACATATTCTACACAAACATACACATGACCAGGACTCATGTGGAGAGTCATAGCAACACATTTTATTTGGAACAAGCGGGTGAAGTTGAAGCAGAAGTTATTCAGACTGAGAATAAACTCAGCAAGGTGGAGGAGATTGGCAAATGGAAATTGCATGGGGTCTATTCAAGGAAGAAACAACAGTCACTCAGCCACATTGCTGCCACTAAACCTTTTATCCCATAGACTTTAAATTTGATGACAAGCCTCATGTAGGTGTTTTGGAAATTTTTGTCCATTTCTTTGTTACTTCATCAAAAAAATCTGTTCAATTAGTGAAATACATTATGTCCTTGACTAATCTGTGTTGGCTTTCCTTAAGTAATCTAAATTTGTCTGGTGACTAGAAATTTTGCTCCAGACTGCCGCTTCTGAAATATTTCCCACTGATGAGGTTAAACTAATTTGGTGAAGTGGTCAGGTTTATCATTGCATCCTTTCTGGACAATGGGGGTAACATTTGTAATTCTCCAATCACCTGGAAACATCACACAAAAGATTGTAAGATTAAAGTCAATGTCTCTGCAATTTCTTCTTCCTTTTCTTAACTCCCCTCAGTATCTTCCATTGCATTTGATCTGAATGGCTTATCCACTTTAAATATAAAGTATCTTTATAAAGCCTATCAATATTTTAAATGCAAAAAACATCATTTTCCAGCCCCATTCAATTCAAAAACAGTGTCATATCAGATTCGAAGTGTTAACTATATTTCTGCCTCCACAATGCTACCAGATCTCCTGAATTTCTCCAGAACTCTGTTTTTGTTCAGATTTCTAGCGTCTTCAGTACTTTGCTTTTATTATGGCAGTGTAATGTTTTTCTCAATTATGTCTTCACTCTGACCAATTAGATTCTGTCATTGATCCCCATGTAGGGCATGGTGTCTCTCCAGTACCTTCAATCAATATTGTCAATAATTTCTTCTTTTCTCAGTCTTTATCAACTGATATCCAGGAATGTTTCAGGCCAGTCTCCCTTTTAGTGCCGGTTACGAGAGACAGTAGCTGGTGGAAGCATATGTACTAATCACCTTTAAAGGGGAAAATTGGATGCATGTTTTAAGTATGCAGGGTTAGAAAATCAAAGAATCCCTGCAGTGTAGATAGAGGCCTTTCAGCCCACTGAGTCTGCACTGACTCTCCACAGAGAATTCCAACCTATCACGCTACCCCGCCGCCACCCACCACCCCCGCACCCCGCCTTTCTCACTTACCATGGCTAATCCACCTCGCCTAGACATCCTTGGACACGAGGGCAATTTAGCATGGCCAGTCCACCTAATCGACACATCTTTGGACTGTGGGAAGAAACTGGAGCACCCAGAGGAATCGCATGCTGACATAGAAAGAACGTGCAAGTTCCACACAGTCACCCAAGCCTGGAATCAAACCCTGGTCCTTGGTGCTGTGCAGCAGCAATACTAACTGGCCCCTCTTATGGGAAAAGAGCAGGAAAGTGAAACCTCTTTGAAAGAGTTAGAAATATGTTCAATGGGCCAAATGACCTGGCCATGATGTATTCCAGTTCCAGCGTTTATAAGAAGAGTTTATGACATGCTGATATTGACAGTTGTTAGAATGTTGGAGAGCCTGAATGTGGTGTTAGAATCCAAACTGATCCCAGAATGAAGGGGAATCCTAGAATGAAGGCACTATCCAGGGAGATTTTGCTGCAAATCCCTTTGATTAAAGAGCTAGACTCAGGAGGGAAAAAGGTAAAACAAAACATTGAAAAACACAGAAAACATGACTCTAATCCTTCACCAAAGAACTTTAACTGGGACCCTCACTGCCCCACAGTTCTTTTCTTATACCTTGCATTATACTTTCCTACTCTGAGGCATTCCAGAAAATGTGAACATCAATGGCTAGTTACATTTTAATGAATCCATCTCTTGCACTTCTAGTGTGGAGAAATGTCTTAGCGTGTTTCACAGTGATGAAACACTGATGTAATGAAACAAAGTTCGAATGCTATGCCAAAGAATGACATACTGGGAAGCGTCAGAAGATTGATTAAAGAGATATATTCACGAAGCAACTTAAAAGCCTCCAGAAATCTCTTTCACCCTTTTTCAGAGTTTATGGCACAATTTGCTGAAGTCTTGGCCACTAAGGTATAATGAAGGGAGTGGGCAATGCAAATTGGAAATGAACTAAAGGCTAAACTAATTAGATGGCAAATTTCAGGTGGCGAGAGCTGGAAAAGATTACAAAAAGTGTGCAGTGAGGCCATGGAGGTGTTTATACAAATAATCCTTTTAAAACCAGAATTATTACTGGACAGAGAATTGTCATAAGTCAGGAAGGATAGAGTTAGTGGATGGTTTGGATCTTGCTGTGGGATAGCAATTCTTTTGAAGGGCAGAAGTATACGGTGAGAGAATGATGAATTAGTTGACTGCATTATTCACTTTATTGATCTCCAATCATCACTGCTGGTTACTTATACGATGATCAGAACTGTTTAGAGGGGATGTAAATGCCCCAAATCTATCAAAAAGAATATGGTCACCCTATCAGAGTAGGCCAGTAGACTGTGTATTGCCTAAAGGATGATATCAGGGCTGCAGGGCTTAGCAAATATTTTGTCTTCTGCAGGTGTACAGTGAAGCTTGGCAAGAACACCATGAAAATTCAGACATACACCTGGACCAAGTCCACATATGGAAACGGGAAGAAATACGTAGCATCAGCTTTCCCTCTGACTCCGTAACAGGAGCAGAATTCTTTCGTCATTGCAACCTGATAGAAAATAAAGAAGATTGCTCTGCAAGTCTTTGTGTCACTCTGTGGATTGGATTAGATTCCGTTGTCTGTCAGAATCAACTTTTATCAGAGCCAACTGCACACGTGCTCTCTCCTCTCCATGGTGCATATATTAATTCAACCAGCTGTGCTGCTCCTCATTGACACTCAGTTTGGGGTCCACTTAGCTCTTGACTTTGTTACAGTCTTGGTCCAAACAAGGAGAAAAGAACTAAATTCCATAGGGAGGTGAAGAATGGCTGCCCTTGTCATCAAAGCCATATTTGATTAAGTATGGCACAGAACAGGACAGCACAGGAATGAGATTTTCAGCCCAATGTTGTGCTGAACATGATGCACAATTGAACTAGTTCCTTCTGCCTGCCCTTGGTACATAGCTCTCTATTCCTTGCATACTCGTGTGCTTATAAAAGTCACTTAAACACCCCCAATTGTATCTGCCTCCACCACCAATCCAGGCAGTGCATTCCAGACACCTACCATTCTGTGTAAAAAAAAACTTGCCTATCCTTCTGTCACCTTAAATGCATGCCCCCAGTTTTAGACATTTCAACCCCGGACCATCAACCCTATTTTTGCATGTCATATTTTATAGATTTCTTTCAAGTCTCCCTTCAGCCTTCCGCTGCTCCAGAGAAAAAAAATCCAAGTTTTTTCTAGCCTCTCCTTATAGCTCATGCCCATAATCCAGGCAGTAGCCTGGTAAACCTCTTCTGTACCTTATCTAAAGTCTCCACATCCTTTCTGTAATGTGGTGACCAGAATGGAATGCAGTGCTCTAGGTGTGGCCTAACGAAGTCTTATAAGGCTGCAACATGACACCCTGATTCTTGTACTCAATCCCCTGACCAATAAAAGCAAACATGCCATATGCCTTCTTTACCACCATATCTACTTGAGTGGACACTTTCGGGGAGTTATGGACCTGAACCCTATCATCCCTCTGTACATCAATGCTGTTCAGGATCCAACTATTAACAGTATACTTGTCCTTAAAATGTGATCTCCCAAAGTGCAGCACCTCACACTTGTCTGTATTAAATCCCATGTGTCATTTCTCTTCCCATATCTGCAACTGATCTATATCCCACTGTATGTTTTGACAACCTTCGGCACTATCCACAACTCCTATGATCATTGTGCCGTATCCAAACTTAGTAACCCACCCATCTACATTTTCATCCAAGTCGTTTAGATATATCACAAACAGCTGAGATCAGAGTATGGATCCCTGTGGAACATCACTAAACGCAGACGTCCAACCAGAAACAAGCTTCCACCACCCTCTGCCTTCTATGGGTGAGCCAAATCTGAATCCATGTGGCCAAGTCACTATGAATCCCAAACATCTCAATCTTCTGGATGAGCCTACCATGAGGGACCTTGTTGAAAGCCTTACTAAAATCCACGACTCTCCTCTCAATCATCATCAGCGTGTCAAAAAGATTCACATTAGTAAGACATGATCTGCCCTGCACAAAGCCATGCTGACTGTCCCTAATCAGGCTATGCTTTTCCAAATGTGCATTAATCCTATCCCGAAGAATTCACTCCAATCGCTTCCCAATCACCGATGTGAGACTCACCGGTCTGTAGCTTCCTTCTTGAATAGAGGAACAACATTAGCTACTCACCAGTCTACTAGGGTCTCTCCAGTGGCTAGCGAGGATAGAAAGATCTTGGCCAAGGTCCCAGCAATCTCCTTTCTTGCCTCCCTCAATAACCAATGTAAATGCCATCAGGCCCTGGGGGCTTATCCACCTTTAAGCTCTTCAAAAGATCCAACCCCATTTCTTGCTTGATCTCAAAATGCCCTAGCATATTAGCATGCTCCACACAAATCTCACTATCCTCCATATACTTCTCCTAAGTGAATATCGATACGAAGTACTCGTCTAGGATCTTATCCACATCCTCTGTCTCCTTTAGCACAAGTTCCCTCCTTTATCCTCAAGTGGTCCTACTTTCTCCCTAGTTATCTTGTTTTTAAGAATGTATGTATAGAATGCCTTGGGATTCTCTTTAACCTTACTGGCCAAGGTAATTTCATGGCCCGTTGTGCTCTCCTAATTCCCTGCTGGAGTTCTTTCCTGCTTTCTTTATATTCCTCACTGGTCCTGTCTGATTTTAGGTTCCTAAATCTCACATGTGCTTCTTTTTTCTTTGACTAAATTCACAACTTCTTCATTATCTAAGGGCCCCCTACCTTGCCATCCTGGTCCTTTCTCTTTACTGGAACATGCTTGTCCTGAACTCTGATTAGGCCTTTAAACAATTCTCACATGTCAAACGTGGACTTGCCTGATAGCAGCTCCTCCCAATTAACACTCCCTAGCTCCTGCCTAATATGGGTGAAATTTGGTCTCCCAGTTTAGTACCTTCCCACAAAAGGTCATGCTTTATGCTTATTTATAGCTGTCTTAAAAAACTTAAGGAGTTATGATCACTGTTTCCAAAATGTTCTCCCACTGAAAAGGTCAGTCACTTGGCCATGCCCATTAGCCAATACAAGGTCTAATATGGCCCCTTCTCTAGTTGGGCTATCCATATATGGTTTCAAGAAACCCTCTTGGATGCACACTAATTTTATTCTATCTAAGTCTCTTGCTCTAAGGGAGTCCCAGTCAATATTGGGGAAGTTAAAGTCACCCACTACGACTGTTGTTATTGCATCTTTCCATAATCTACCTACATACTTGTTCCTCAATGTCTTGATGCCTGTTGAGGGGCCTATAGTATAATGCTATCAGAATGATTGCACTATCTTATTTCTGAGCCCTTGAAAATATCGAGTGTTGATGTGACATTCTCCATGATTGGTAACGCAAATCCTCCATCCTCTTTTACTTTCCTCTCTATTTTGTCTGTTTGAAATGTCGAGCTGCCAGTCTTGTCCCTCTCTCAAATAAGCCTCTAATAGCCACAACATCATAGTCCCATCTTTTGATCCAGCTCAAACCTCATTTGCCTTACCTATGGAGACATTAAGGAGCTTTAGCAAAGTTGGAGTCAATGGGAATCAGGGTTGGAGACATACCTCACACTAAAGAGGATCGCTGTGGTTGTTGAATGTCAATCATCTCAGTCCTCAGACTTTACTGCAGGTGTACTAAATCATTGCACTACACTGAGTAGTGTCCTAGGTCCAAACATCTTTAAGTGATTTATCAATGACATTCCCTCCATCATATGGTTAAATGTATGTATAATCATAAAGAATATCCAATGTTCAGCAGTGTCCATGATTTCCTTAGATATTAAAGCTGTCCGAATCCACGTCCAATAATCTGGACAACATCTGGGCTTGGGTTGAGAAAAATGCCAAGTAACTTTCACAAATGCCAGGTAAAGACAGCAAGAGAGAATCTAACCATCTCTCTTCAACATTCAATAGTGTTATTATTGGCCAGAAACTGAACTGGACTAACCATATAAATATAGTGCAGCTATAGGTACAGGTCAGAGATTGGGAATACTGCATTGAGTATCTCACCTCCTGACTGCCCAAAGCCTGTCCACTATCTACAAAATACAAATCAGGAACATGACAGAATATTCCCCATTGGATGGGTGCAGGTCCAACAGCCCTCAAGAAGCTTGACACCATCCAGGATAAAGCAGGTTGCTTGATTGGAACAATATCCACCTCTGTTAACAGTATCAGCAGTATGTACCATCTGGAAGATGCACTGAAGCAACTCATCAAGCTTCTTTAAACAGCTGCCCTTGATATCAATGCCATATTTGAATAAGTGTCAATGGGAATCGGGGAAATCTCTTTGCTGGGTGGAGACATACCTTGCACAAATGAAGATGGCTTCCAAAGCTGTAACCTCTATCCCTTCCTAACAGCATTAGGAGTGTCCTTACACCAAGGACTGCAGCAGTTCAAGCAGGTAGCTCACCACCACTACCTATACCTACCAGCTTTGTTTGGCTGACCAATATCCACATGGTCACCAGTCATTTTATTTATTAAACCACTTTCTCAAATTAAACAAAAGAAGGCTTCTACATCCTTCTCATCAAATTTTGGCTATCATCGGGGCATATTTAAACAGATCCACTCCAGGCCTTTGGCTATGATGGGATTGCTCTCCATCACTGCCCTCATCAGTACTCCTACCTTTCACCTCTACCGCCACCATTTTATGTTGGCTTTGAGTTTTCAGTTCCAACATCTGAAATTCAAAAACCCTCTTTCCCCCTTTCTTCTGCTAGGGCCTTCCTTTCCTTTTCTTTTTCCTCAGCTTTTAATCGTAATTCAAACTGTTTCATTTTCTTTTCATGTTCAAGTTGCTTCATTTGAAATCGAATTTTAGTGATTTCTAATGATTCTCATGGCATTTCAAGCAATCAAAAAATGTCAAGCTATTGATGCAATTACCTCCTCTTTTTGAAACAGACATAGCCAGACAAGCTGGAGTTGAGGTTGCCTAATCCAAAAACTTTGCCTTGCTCACTTTCTATAAAGCTCCAAAAGTGACTTCTTCCAACCTCAGGAAACTTACTGACTGAAAAAACCATTACTTCACAAGGCACAGCTTATTTAAGCCAACTGAAATCAACACCCAAAAGAGAATGCAAACATTCATCACAGACTACCTTTGAATCCAATAATCCTAAACCCAATGTGGAATAAGGGAGGGTTTGATCCCAACAAGAGCCCCAGTTTGTAATGCAGCAGACCAAACCCCTTCAAAAATATATTAAGAAGATTGTCAAGACCCTAACTTTTTCTAGTGTAGAGATAAATGTTGTATTTTGGGTGCAAATCGATTGTGTTTTGTTTCAAGCCTGGTAGTTTGATCAATCAGGAGGCTAGAAGAACACAATAAGCCAGGCAGCATCTGGAAGAAAGGAGCAGTCAATGTTTCAGGTATTACCCTTCTTCAGGGCTAGATGTGGGGGTAGGGGGAGGGGTGGAGGCAGAACGGTGGTGACAGCTGGACACTGGTAGACTTGGTTGGTCAATTGGAGGAATGAATCTGGTTGGCGGCTGGAAGG